AAAGACGTGTGCGCGAAAGTCTAGTCCTAAAGTGATTTACATTTCTCAAACTTTTGCGATGTCCTAACGCAACAAAAGTACCAATTATGAACTAAAGAATCTGTAGGGCCAGTGAAATGTCACTGAGCCCTAGCCAAATCATCCGGCAGTTGGACCACTGAATGTCGAACAGATCGTCGCTCCCTGCTAAGGTCAAGTACAACAACGCGCATTAGTTAATCGCATGCCATGGACTGGCTCATGCGGCAGTGGTCTTACTTTCGCTTGTATCTACTTTAACTAATATATTTCTGTATTAACGTCTTCTGTGTTGTACAGTCTTCAAAGCATCTATGGTGCCTTGATATGTCAATGGGGTAGTCCACGTAAAGCTCTGACCACGTGGTGTGACTTGGATGTTAGTTAGTTTGTCACACCATTCACGTCCAAGTCGAGTAGGCCTCCAATCATTTCGACATAGATCATCTACGTTGGTGATCTACAAATCTGTCCTGAGATTTACGTTCGGCAGATTACTTTTCTTTTTGAGTTTTACCCGATTTAATAGTTAAATGTGGTTTTGCGTCAACTTACTATTCGGTTTTTCAGTTTTTCACGTCAAAACTAGTTTCAGTTTATCTTGTCCTTATGTACCACCCGTTTTTATCCATTTTTATCCTCTTTTAGTGTTCTGTTTTTTTTACGGTCGTAGACTTTTGCTAGTATCTATATAACAATTTACGTCACTAATGTCGTAAAGTATTCATACAAGCGAAGCAGTTGTCGTTTTGCTGTCACTTCTGGCATGCAGTGTGACAATTGCAAGGGTTCGTTCCACGAAGTGTGCACAAGCCTCAAAGTAACTGCTTATAACAGACTCAATAAGTCTGATCAGAGGTGGGTATATGTCACGTGCAACCCGAATGCCGGGGTTTTGCTGAGCAACACCATTCTCTTGACAGATCTGCGGAATAAGTTGTCAGCAAACCTGAATAAAAGGCAGTCCTAAAACGGGTAGACAAACAAAGATGTGCAGTGAAAACAAGAAGAGGGATCTTGACAACGCTACTATCGATGTGGTATGTGATCACATTAGTGATGACATGCTGAAACTCAGGGCCATCATAACATCGACGGTACTAGACTCTCTCGACAGACTTAGGTCTCCCAGCGCAGCATCCTTGAACGCGGCGATGGTTCCCAAAATCTCTGCAGGTGATTCGACACACGTTAAAAAACCTAAAAAAGATCGGGTGTCACCGTCTAAGAAGCTGAACATTCCAATTATTGTAGTGAAATCAACTGATGATTTGACCGCACAGTATTCTCACAAGAATGTCCAACCGGTCAGCAAAGAGCATAGGAGTCGGAAACGTACTTCGATCTCCAAACAACAAGGTCCTCAACCCGAACTTACCAGAAAACCTGCGAGAATAATTGTAGAAATATGGTATACTTCGTTATTAGTACCACTCTAATAATGGGCTTAATCGTAAAATTGTTAGTTTGTCATGATGTAACTGTCTAATCTATAAGATCTTACGTAGAAGTCACATTATTATCTAGAATCACTCATCTCGTCGTAACAGTCATCGATATATGGTGAAGAACACACTTAGGCTAGAGATAGAGCAATATATTTAATATGAATGAAAGATATATAGCAAAAACCAAGAATGACCACGCCAGCAAGGCCGAGCCATCCTATCCAATCAATTCAAATTAATTCAATTAGTTGTTGCCGCCTTCTACATCGTTCGGTTTTTCTCCACGTTAAATATTGAATATCTATTTTCCCAGTTGTCTCGTCTTTAGCATAGAGGATTGTTAGGTTATGGCCCAATGCAACTGCACAGTAACGATTCGCGATGATTCTCCCATAGTCATGAGCCCTGAAAACAGTCCTGAGCTTCCCCTCAGTTTGCAGGACAAACATGATAGGATGCTCTGGGAAGAGTCAAACAAAATGCTCGAACTTCTCAAAATTAACCCTTTGACATTCACACAGCTCACTCGGGGAAAGGAATCTAAGCATCAAAATCACCAAAATGTACTTCGTGTAACACTCACTAATGCTACCGACGTAGAGGACATTCTACTGGCTAGTCACTTAGTGCAATCAGATGGGAACGTAAGAATACTGCCTGATATACCGTATTCGGAGTGCGATCCCACCAGGAACATTCTCAAGAAATTTCAACAGCTAGGTCCTAATGGTCCGACCAATAACGACGGCGACGCCGCCAACCTTTTGGCTGAACAATCTCTCGGACATTTCAACCGATCCGCACTAACTACATTGGTGAAAGCTTCATTTTCAACTGCACAGGACTTTTTGAAGCGGACCTGAGCGTGTACCGGAAACTGCAACACCTAAAAAAAGACACTTCTCCTGGCCCGGATACGGTTCATTCTGCAGCTTCAATCCTGGCAACTCCGCTTAGCGTGATGTTTTCAGCTCGCTAAGCCGGGGCATATTACTGGTAAATTGAAAGCTGGCTGACGTCACGCCAATTTTCAAAGGAGGTCGACGCAGCGAACCTTCAAGTAACCGACCGGTCGCCCATCTCTCTATACCTTCAAAAATCATGGAGTCCCTGATATGTGGTGGTATTCATGACTGTTTGCTGGCCTTAAATTTCTTCTCACCCCAACAGCATGGTTTCAGGAAGGGTTATTCTTGTATGACCAACCTGCTGACTGAGGTGGACAGATGGACAAGCATCCTCAATCGCGAGGGGAAAGTTGATATCACTTACCTTGATTTATCAATAGCTTTTGATAGTGTCAACCATATATATCTTATCAATAAGTTCAAACGATTGAGTATCAAACCACCTCTAATCGATTGGCTTACTTCATACCTGAAAAGTCGACATTTTAAGGACAGGGTTAACTTCAAATTATCTCAGGCTATAGAATCTCCTGGTGGGGTAACCAAGGGCTCAGTACTGTGACCTCTTTCCTTCTTGACCTATATAAATGATCTTCCACAACAGGTAACGTCAGACTTATTACTTTTTGCCGACGACGTAAAACTTTGGAGAGAGATACGCAACCAAGACGATATACAGGCACTCCAGGAGGATCTGACTCGACTTCAAAGTTGGGCAGACGATAACGGACTTACCTTTAACACTTCAAAGTGTAAAGTAGTCCATCTGCGACATGTCGCAAACTACAGTTACAACTTAGGAAACTCCTCTCTAGTAGTATCCCAAGTCGAAAAAGATTTAGGAGTCCTGGTGCCCCATGATTTAAAGTCTTACGCTAACTGTGACAAAAATGTCTTCCGAGCAAACCTTGCACTGGTAACGTTGAAGCGCATTTTTGGCCAGTTTGACGGACGAACTTTCCATACAATCTTCAATAGTTTCATCTGTCCCCATTTAGAGTACGGAAACATAGTACTCTCCATCACTCCAAAAGCATAAGGTCTCTTTGGAGCGTATCCAACGGCGAGCCACGAAATCAGTTCGAGGACTCAAATCTAAACCTTACGAAGAACGCCTCCATTCACAAACGTTTACCCAATAGAGTACAGGCGTCTTAGAGGTGATTTATTAATGGCTTATAGTATTCTTAACACTTCTGGACATCCTCTCAAACACCTACTTAAGCTTAATTCGAATAATAACCTAAGGATTAACACCCAGAAACTGGAAACACAACATAGCAAGACAGAATGTAGACACAACTTCTACTCCTTAAGAGTTGCCAAATGCTGGAATTCGCTGCCGGCCGAGCTAGTCCAAGCCACTTCTCAGGAGTCCTTCAAGAGGCAACTTGACCCATTCTTAAGGACCAAGGACAGCATCACACTATGATTTACCAATTTCTTTTCCTCTTTTATTGTTAACATACCTAGGTTCCTACCTGGAGGATTTGGTACTAGACACGGAAGCCTGTTAAGCGAAAGCTTCTTCTATTCCGTCCACAGCCATTTGAGCCATTTGAACATTTCCTTGAACTCCCGCCCACCAATGAGGCACTTTATTACGGACCGCCTAGTATCTAGACAGAACGAGAATATAACGAACCCGACTGTTATTATTATGAATATAACCAAACCACAGAATATATGGCTTATCCTTTCCTATTATTCTTACGCTAACTGTGACAAAAATGACTTTCGAGCAAACCCTGCACTGGTAACATTGAAGCGCTTTTTTGGCCAGTTTGACGGCCGAAATTTCCACATAATCTTCAATAGTTTTATCCGTCCCCACTTAGGGTATGGAAACATAGTATTTCATCCCTCACTCCAAATTGATAAGAGCACTCTGGAACGTATACAACGGCGAGTCACGAAATCAGTTCCGGGACTCAAATTCAAGCCTTATGAAGAGCGCCTTCATTCACAAAACCTTTACTCATTTGAGTATAAGGGTCTTATAGGTGATCTATTGGCTTACATTATCCTTAATACTTCTGGACTTCTTCTTAAACACCTACTTAAGTTTAGCTCCAACACAAACCTTAGATGCAACACCCATAAACTGAAGACACAACACAACAGAACGGACTGTAGACACAACGTTTACTCCTTAAGAGTTGTGAAATGCTGGAATTCACTTCCGTCAGAGCTAGTCCAGGTGATTTTCCAGGATTCCTTTAAGAGGAAACTTGATATATTCTTAAGGAACAAGGATAGTATTGTACTATGGTTAGCAAATTTCTTTTTACTCTTTTATCGTTAATATACCTAGGTTCCTGCCTGGAGGTATCAGTGACCCACTGATACTTGACACGGAATCTCGTTAAGCAAAAGCTTCTTCTATTCCGTCCACAACCATTTGAACAATTGTGCAATTACAAATACATAGGCATATGAACCATTACTTGTTTCTCCGTCTTTATAAGCAGTTTTGCAAGATTAATATGCCTTGAAATCCGTCCTTGTTTTATCAAGCTTTTTGCATTACGTGTCTGCTTTTCAACCAATCAGAGGCTTCAACAACGGGCAGCCATCTTGATTTGTCTATCTGTGTTCAGCCATTGCTATCAGGTCAGTTGTGTTTATGGCTGTCTGCTGTGCGCTCGTTGCTCTGCATTGTTACTCACTTTTCTTGTATCTTCTGTGAAAATCTCGAAATGATTGTGCGTCTAGACTGGGTTTTTGTAGTTTGTATCAACCGTATTTCTGGTTTTCTTTTTAATAGTCGTTTTTTGCCGTGGTATTTGGTACTTCATAGCTACATATTGTAGGCGTATGTGTCTTACGTATTGTTTTTTATGTGGATCTGGATGGATTTCTTAACTCTTCCTCCGTCTTTTCGTTCCAGTTATGGTGGATGAACTTCACGTTCTTAAGAAGAGGATTAGAACACTCAGTGAATCCTCCAGGTATGATTTTAACAAACGTCTGTACTCTTTTCTTCGACTCTTAAACTATGTTCCGTATTCCTGCTGTCCACACACTACTTTTTTCCATGCAGTCATTTGTTCACAATGCTTTTCTGAATGTCAGCCTAGGCGACTTTAGTTAGGTTTAAGATAGTGGGCTTTTACTTCAAATCTCTTGTAATCGGAGCAGTGACAACAAACATCAACGAAAGACCAAAAACGTGCCATGAAAACAGTCTGTCAGTGGAAGCTGTGTATTTTTGTTCTGTCTTGATATATTAGGTTGACTCAATGTACTCACTATATGCTAGTACTAGGACATCTTATCCTTTCATTTATCCAGACGTCACGTCTCATACCGACCAAGGTAAATTTACTGAATACCACTTTAGAACGTTGGGGTAATTGTGTAGATTTTCTGAAGTAACAATTACTGTGTTGCTTGACATTTTCCTTCCCTATGGTGGGATGTTGCTTATTGACAGACCGGAATGCCTAGTGGAAAGGTATTTTTATTTGACGGGGTGAGCTGTCGTACAGCGACCAACCGCTGACCAGATAGTCATACATGACTAACCCTCGTATACGTCTTAGACTAACAGGTGTATTGTGATTGTCTGTTTTATGCCTCTGAATGCTGACCCAAGTGTCGTCTGAACATGTTTTAATGGTTCTGTTAGATCTTTTATCAGTATACATTGAGTAGCACAAAAGTCAGCTTTGTTTCCATGTATTTATCCACTATTTGCCAGCGAATCCAGACCCTTTAATATTGTGCAAAATAGTAAACATGATTAAATTCTACTCACTCAAGTATCGCGAGACGTAGTTAGTCTCAGTCAATTTACTAGGTCTTTTAGTGGATAAAGTGGGTTGAGGGTTGTAACGTTTTGGTTATAGTTTGTCGATTAGTAAGTTCTCGTATCTGTTGCTGCTACAACATAGTACTGGGACCAATTCACTCACATTTCTCAATATATACTTAAGATTCGCTTAATTGGTCAGCGAATATTTTTTAAGTACGAAATGTCGATCTGTAGTCTGTCTTGTAAAGCAAGATTTACATTATTCCTCTGTATGGACTCATTTAAAATGTATTCTCATAGGTGGCAGACATTAACTTGTATATGCCACTTCTAAGTGTTCGTCCCTGGGAATGTAGCTTAGTGCTATAGCATGGATAACTTCCTAAATACTTAGAAATATTCTGTGCAAAAGCAATTAGTGGTATTATTCTATCGTTCGAGGAAGCAGATGGAATACATTAGATGGCAGTATGGCATCCAGAATACTCTGTCAGCCACACTTCGAAGGCTTTCGGTAGAATGTATATCAGCATCCAAATGACTAGTACAGGTTGTCTCTGGATTATATTTACCAGTACTGAGTCACAACGGGTAGTATTCGGAACCACTGTGAAACAACACAATGCAAGAAGTCACACTTGAAAAAAAGTTATGGCAATAAGTAAATAATCACCAGGAATATAGCTCAAGAAACGTTTAAAACCACAAGATGATTAGTAACAGCTTTTTTTTAAACTAAACACAGACTGACTTGGACTAGCTTCGTGAGATCGGCTAATCTTACAGTTGCCTAAAGCACGTTGGTGGGACGTTGCTTAAACCTCTTGACTAACTGTGGGTTTTTGATCACTGCTGTAGCACTGGATGTCATGATACTCGGCCATGTAAACAGTCAAGACAACGAATGTAGTTGCGCTAGTGTGGTCTATACGGAAAATCTTTGGTAGTTCTCTAGTTACGTTGGTTTTAATCCTCGATCAAGCGAGTTAGGAATTCTCAAAAGTCGCTCCCACTTTTTATCGACTGAAGTGCGAACTGTAACAACAGCTACTCGCCCCCAACCCACACTCTTGCGAGCCCTTGCGACATGTTCAGAACTTCTGATCCTCACGGTGTGCATCCTTAAGACTCATGGCACCTGCCGAATGCTAGGAGCTTTAGTGTGTGCTACATCGATAATGTTAGCTACGTTAGGCAGTGCACGTTAGGTATGTTTGGTGACCAATTTGCACAGTATCAAGTACAGAAAAATAATCTTTTTGATAGGCATGTACATACGCTCTAACCGGTTCTCGAAGCTGTCACTGATTAATCCTACAGACAAAAATAACTTTGTGGTCCAGATCAAGCCGTCATCAGATATATGTCCGCATGATCAGCTGTAAGCTACATTTCCAAAAGCAGTAAATGTGGTTTCCCGTAAGTGGACTAAGGTTCATTGGTCTAAATCAAGCTGTACTGTGCATCAAACCACCGCTCGATCACTAAGCTTTGAGCGCACAAGTACTCAGGCAAAAGTGCTTAAAGGTTAGACTCGCGGCGTTGAGTTTCTGCATCTCAACCGTTATGAACATTCGTAGGTTCTGTATAGACTTTTCTCTCTTGGAGTTTGTTTATACTCAATTTGCTATTTGTATCAGGTGGTTAAGGCCAGTAAAGTCAAATGGGTTGGTAGCGTTCCACGTTAGTCATCATGTTCCAAGTTATTAAACGACATTTGGGGTCACTACTATAGGACTTCGAAAATGAGTTAACCCCTTAGAGACTTGTGTATTGTTACATATTGGTGACCAAGCTAAAGGGAACTCAGCACTACACTAGATAGGGTTGGGGGCTACTCGTACGACCAAATCCTTTGTGCGGCGTTGTTACCTTGAAATTCTTTGTCGTCGATCATGAATTCAATCTTGTAAAGCTCCATCCTACTTATACTGAGTACTCTAGAATCGGAATGGTAACACGGTGTTTTTTGTAAGGCTATCTTCCTTCTTAGGGATATCCTGCCTACACACCTTAGTTTCCATCGTAGCTAGCACACTTCAGATTCACAGGCTTCAGTCTGGAATCCTCAAAAAGTTCTAACCGACAGTACTTCATTAAAATGAAATTATCGTGTTTCGGCGTTTAAAGTCCAGGATGAATATATGGGTCGGTTGATCAATAAATCTTATTCTTCTACAGTTTCCACTTTTTCGGAAATGTGGTATCCCATCTGACTTCAATGTACAAACCTCAAATTTTCAAAATTACAAACCTAATATATTTGAAAATGCTACATTAATGTTTGTACATTATAATCTTCAATATAATTCCTATTGTAAATTTTCTACGCATTTTGCACTCGAGTTCAAGCAGGGATGCTAATTTTTCTTGTCTGACTATAAGAAAAAGTAGTAACAGTTCAGTTGAGTAGTTGTGCTAATTGGTTCTCGCATAATTCTGATCAATAATAAAGACCAAAAATTTATGTTAATAACAAATAAGTGGCATCAGTTGTAGTGTACACCGATTATCTCACAAAAACAACATCCAAACCTGTTTCCATATCTTTATCCAGTGCGATAAACAACTATCACTGGGAAGCTCCTATACTATTATTACGAATATATCTCTGGTCTTACTGCTCTCCATTTTCATTCCGGCAGGTTTTCATGTTAAGTGTAACGTGGTGCAGTTAACTACTCTGCCCCATTACTAGTAGTGACATAAGTTTGTACCTTAACCATTAAGGTTAGTGGGTTGTAGTATAAACTTTCGGATGTTACGTACGTACCGGCTAGCGTATTGCTGTATAATTAGCAAGTTAGGTGTAGGCTCATTTTCTTCAGCCCTGCTTTTCGTCGGTACCTAACCGCTTAATGTGTTCCTATGTTTAAAGCATATGCTAAGTGGGACCAATCTGCACTTGGCTCGGAAATAGATAAGTGTTTCTAAAATATCCAAGTGAGATCCTACTTCGGCAAAAATCAAGGAGTTAGTGTTGTATGCTCGTTCAAAGGCGATTATGCTCCACACAAAAGCCCCTAACTCGAAATCTATCCTGGCTACCATGTCCACGTATACGCTAATTTGTGTATGAATAGTGTAGTGTCTCCACAGTTCATATTTGCAGTCTAATGTCGGCGTTACCGATAAGTCGCTTAATAATTAACCAATCGCTCGCAAAGAGACGCCCGGTCGCTCTCTGTTTTCATGTTAGTCGTTCTAAGGTGTAGCGATACTTGTCATGCTTTTTATATGTAGCTTTCAGAAACCTCAGCGAATAAACCACTCTTGTTGAACATAATAAGTGGAGTTGAGCTGTCCTAATTAAGTTGAGAAATCCATCCGTCTACTCACTTGGTCGTTCTGAGGTTAATTATACGATTACCTAGACAATGTTGTATAGTTCCCGACGTTCACACATTGGTCAGTGAAGTTTAGTTTTGAGATCCGGTTATTGCTGCTTTTACACATAGGCTAATAAATGCGATCCACGGGTAGTATAAGTTAGTTATAGTTACTTTAGGAGTGATTATCATCAATCTAACGTAAGAGTACTCGGTACAGATCTACAGCGGATTTTAATTTGCCCAGCATTTGATGTCAGTTCTTCAGTAAATGTAGCCGACGTTGGTACCTAATTAGTAGCTTTACACATGTAACATTAGCGCTTCCAGGTTAACTGTTCAGGTTCGTCAAGTCTAAAAGTTCTACCGACTTCAGTTTCTCGAACTGATTAGGCTTTCATATTATAGGGTTCATGTGTTGCTATCCGAGTAGTAGTTACTAAAACGGCATCTGGTGCTCGATCAAGTTCCATAAGTTGCTGTTTGAACTGGAAACCCAGTGACGTGAGATCTAGACGTTTGTTGACTCTCAATGAAGCTATTTTGATGTATGTTAATGTAGTGTAGCTCAAACCAGCACAGGTTTATATACTAAACCACATTTGGCAGATAGATGCAGGTGATACTATCCGATTACCCGAACCGAAACAGATGTAACGGGATCCCAACAAGGGAATTCGTGGTGTATATATTATCTGATTTAAAACTAATTAGAACCCCACACAGGGTGCCTGTGACTGACAATTACCGTTATTTCCATGAAACAACAGGCACGAGGCTCAAGATTCCTGTCTAGTCATGGGATATAGTTTAAGGGCGGACGACTTATCACGTTTGGTCAGGTCAAACGGGAGGATATCCAGACGACTTCTTATGCGTTAAATCATAGTTCAGGTAATTCCCCAAAATTGGTCACGCCACTAGAACCTAGTGATATTCGGAACTTCTTGATTAAGGCATTCTAATCTAAGGATTCTTTATGTGGTTGGAAGTGAGATCTTTTCATCAACAGCATATACTGATGGCTGTGTTTACATGTACTAGGAAGCATACAGTACACCGCGTACCTTAGGAAATAACGTATCATCAGATGTCGTTCTCGGGTGTTATTTGTGAATTGATATCGCCTGCTTGGATTTAGATCAAATAAGAGTTCTGATTCCCATTCTTTAATAATTGGTCAGGTCACATTAGCCCAAGTAATGGTTCGTTGACATCATACGCTTGAATCGTAAACCCTTTATATTTTTACACCGATGTACTTGGCAGCTGATGAACGTGTGTGTTGCCAGCTTAGTCTTTCATAAGGTAATTAGTAGATCGATTCAGAATTCTGTTATTTGAACGCAGTTTTGGTGGATATAAATGTCTTCCTAGTCAACAGAGTAGTCATGCCATAAAATCTCATTGGCATGATACTGATTTAAGTTTGACCTTGGCCTCTTAATCTCCATTTATATCAAACAATTATTTCTTTTACCTTCCTTTGCTTTCTATACTTGATTATCGTAAATGTGAGTCGATCTGTTATTTGTCTTGTATTGCTGTGCTTATGATCATAGCTAGTGTGACTAGCTCACAGGAAACAAGTTTAATTTTCTAAAAAAACTCATTTCAGACAAGATAGTCGTCTTTCATTTCAAACTACCTAATATTACCTTTCGCATGGATCCCGAAAAACGCTCAAACAGAATTAGGCCTACATCTATAATAAGGTATGTTAAGTACGTCTTAAAAGTTCCTGACAGTATGAGGTTCCGTGGTTTCGTAACATACTCTATGTTGTTAAGTGTGTGCTGGTGTGGCATTGAAAGGACCTGCATCCAAATCGTTGATTACTAACGAACCAACTAGATTGTGGGTCTTTCATTGTCCTGTTATCGTGTAAGTGCCTGTAATTCGTGAGTGCTTATTCCCAACTCAATTTTTATGTATATAGTCGTGCAAAATGTACGCCAATCGCCTACCCGCGCATTCAGATTTCAATTTCAGTTCCAAAAACACTTTAGTAACATTTACACAAAATGTATATTTCTGACCTTGAGCGACTAAATAAACTGTACCACAACATACAGTTCTTGTTCAGTAACTGCGTCAAACTTTTATTCCTGTTCAGTGTAAACAGGCTTTCAATGGTGAATAGTCTTAACGAAACAGGTAGATATGAACCGTCAAGTGCCTTAAAGTAAAAACAGCCTACAAATTTGCTGTGCAAAAGACTAATTCATTTCTCGACAGCTTTATTTAGTTTACAATTTGTAGTACACGATTAGGGCTTCTGCTAAACGAATGTTTCGAGATGAAGCACAGTGTGAACAATATCCTTCTTGATGGCAAAAGAACTACTCCTACCACTTCTTTCTTAAAATACTTTGTTTCTTATAGTTACGTTAGTTGACCTACGGTACAAACCCATAAATTACCGTTTTCGTATTTGAGTACGTCGTTCGACTTTTAGGGTCAGTCTTCTGGATGAGTATCTCCATAATTTACAGTCCATTTATCGTTTGTGGACTTATGGTGCTGTGATTTTGCGAATAGTAGGTTTTTTGTTTGCAGCTTATAGCTACTACTTATATCGGAAGTGAAATCCGCACGAGGATTTAGTGTCTCTAAACTTAAAGCCGTTATAAGAAGCTAGTTCATGGGAAATACAAGCTGACTTTCTAGCATACAAGAAAACTTCAGTTTCCTTTTTCGGAACTCGACACAACCATATATCAGGTGTTAGCTGCTATTTCCTATCCAGCTTCATAATATCAGAACATAGTCCACGCCAGTCGCTTAGGCTAAGCGATCACTTCGTGATTTGATCGATAGAATTCGATCATCGCTAAGACGGCTAGACGTAGGTGATATTGGTCTTCGCTCTGTGACCAATCAATGTTAGCAAGAATATTACTTTGTAGTCTGTGCGATTCAATTGAAAAGGGATAGATTATGCTTATTACCGAGTTTATATACATAATTTTTAGTTAAACAACAACATATAATCCTACTCACTGCCTTCTCGTGGCGGGGGTGTCGTTTACGAAAATGAGAGGACGAAAAGCGAATGTCCGGCGCTTTAACCGGATTCCAAACTAGTGGTGCACATGGGCTCCAGTATCCTGCGGGGACAAATGGCGTATGAACCAATCGTTGGTCACCGGCTTCCATGGGACTGCATCTCCTTACGATGCTCGACTGCCTTGTGGATCAGACCTTCAGGTCGAAGGCTCGGGGAGTGCCCTCCTAAGAAAACCACCTGCTTCGGTTTGGGCACCCGGGCAGTATCACAGCCCTCACACATCGAGTGAGATTTGTGTGGCGCATATGTATTTGGTGTCTCCTTGTACCAATATCTATGTGTTAAAATAAATAATAAATAAATATAATCGTAGCTAAAATTGAATTAAGGATTGTAAGTTTCACTGTCAAGCTTCTTTAAAGTAATTGGTTTTTGGTTAGAACCAGTCTCAAGGATACAAAGTAATTTTCTGAATCTTGTCTTGCAGTGCCTGGGATTGTTTTATTTTACAAAATAGTATGAATAAGTTATAATTGAATTTACATGATATTATTGTTTACATAAAGGTCCATCCTACGTGATACATTACTTGAGATTGTCTACGATATACTAATTTTCACCAAACTGTGTATTATATCCAAATCCTCAAATAGTCAATCAATCGGTTGAACATCACGAATTTGTCTTCCTGTGTTGTTGTAGCTATCTGTGTATGTATAAATTCGATGCTGATAGATGACACTTATCTAAGAATAGAGATGAATTGTTTTGCTAAATAATATACAAGACACCGTATTACTTTTAAGCTACTTATATTATTACGGTATTCTCATCAGTTTATAATGAATCGTTACTTGATTTCTATGTTTGTTCAAGATGTATTCTAATGTAATCGACATTCTAACATTGTCTGCTTAATTAGTAATACCAAAACTACCGTAATATTTTTCGCCTGCTTGTTTGTTTTTGTAGGAGCGATGGATCCATATCTCACACAGACCAATCTGAATTTTCACCTCAGGAAGACACTATTTTATCAAATTCACCACCACAACCAGTCAGATCTAGAAAACAAAATATAAGAGAGGTAAGCTTTCCTGTTAGCTATAGTCATTCCGCATATGATTATAGATAATACTCACCAAAAAATCACTTTAATATCATAATCTTTATTATTTTTTTTTAGTTGGAGATTGATATTAAAGAATAATTTGTTTTTTCCGTTTTTATTTACGTTTAGCTTCGTGAAGAGTTTGAAGATTATCCTGAATTGTATGGTATACGTAGATCTGCACGAAGTCGCAAAGAACCATTACGTTTCAAAGCATCAGAGAAAGATACACCTGATGCACTTTTTCGAGAAAAGAGAAGAAGTCGTTTTCCTAGCAGTTCAGATAGTAATAATGTAACAGATAGTGAAACAGACGATTGGAATGATAATATATCAGTAAGTTTTTAATAACAGTATAGACAGATTTCTGACAAGTTTTGCTATCTTGATTGTCGTACTAATTTTGGTCTTTAATATCACAAATGTTTAGGAATCGAAATGAAGTAGAGTGAATGTAAACTAATGTAATCAACCATGCGTCACCGCATCTCTGAAACTCAGCTGTCAAACTTGACTGTTTTTTGAACTTGAATTTCTTTGCTTAGTACACGTTAATTGTAAATAGTTGGATTGTGGATTGATTATTGTGTTGAGTAGCATAGCTCACTGTTAAACATTCCGTGTTGTAACTCAGTTTATGTTTGGGGATATATTGAACTTAGTCCAAAATCTATAATTGGTTTGTAGTAATAAATGAAATAACCTCATACTCTTAGTATTCGTAAACATCTCGTTGACATACTACTTATTTTGACGTGATATCTGTCGATTTATTCATTGACCATTGTTGAATTGAGCGGTGTTGGTATGTGCAAACTACCTGGTTAGGATGTGATAATTAGGAGTATTCGAATTACTATACAAACTAGGAATCCCAGAAAAATCGCAATTTAACCAAGAAGTACTAGATGAGCACAAACGAACGTATTGTATTCGGAATTCGAAATCGAACAGTCATCAAGTACAAAGGAATCATTAGTTCATATAAACACTACGACCGCCATAGCTTAAATGAGAATCCAATTTCTGCGATCAATCGTACTTCTCCTTATGTTCATCATATGTCTATCCGATTGTGTATTGAATGTAAACACCTTATGATCTGGAATGTACTCATTAGTATTAGAATTATCAACTGAAATTGGAGCGGACTCACCTGAGCCCTGGAATTGTATACAGTCACCATGTCGGCTGTGTAGTGAAACCACTGATATCTAGAATTTGAATCATAGATTTTTTAACACTACCCTCCCCCACGAAATAATGTTGGGTCCTTACGTCGCAATGTCATGACCGACTTGACGTTCCCAATTCGCATTATCTTTTTATGTCTCACATTTCGATTATTATATGTGAGCATTTGGGGATACACTGACTTATAATTTGGGGCATTCCATCATGTGACAAGTCCATTGTTCCAGTTATCAGATAAATATGCATTGATATTTGTAATTGGTACGTGTGATTCATTTAGGCTTGATTCGCCTGCAAAACAATCAAGTAGAAAATATGCATCTGTCTCATACTCATTAGGATAATCTTGGACTGGATTTGAATTTTCTGCCTGTGCAAACTTCATATCTGGGCAAACTGGTTCTCTGAATGCTTCGGGAAAACTTGCCATTCCCTCTGATTCTTCATACTATTGACTAGGGATTCTATTCGACATACATTGGTTGTGAGACTATTCACCATGAGATATAATAAAATCAGAAATGTGACTGGAATTCAACTCATTCGGAACATATTTGTCACATTCATTAGGGATATCACTGGAGATAAATCAATTGTGGGACAAATAACATTTGATATGACATCAGGATTAGGTTCTTCTGAAATATTTTCCTCAAATTTATTAAGAATTTCATTGGAGAATAATAAATCATTAGAAAAATCAGCATCTATCAAAACTGCATCAGATTTTCGATCACGACTTGATTCATTCAACATATTTTCCTCAGATTTATAAAAATTCCATCAGAAATATGTGAATCATTTCAGGGGATTTTCCTCCTTTACAACATTCGAAATTTGTATACTTAAGATGGTCTAGTAATAGTTCCTTGCGAGTTGTATAAGGAAGCGAAATAGGCTTTTCTGGAAATGCCGAAGTTTTTAGTAAGCTGTATGCTTCTTTCCCGATAAATGTAAGGAAATCAGCCACAATCTTAACATCTTCAGCATCTTCCTTGGTCATAGTCCGGATTTCGAACCTTTCCATGTAATCCTCAAAAGCATCAAGATCTGAATGTATGTCCAATTGTTCCACCACAGGCTCCGTAACGACTCCAATGTGATAATTAGGAGTATTTGAATTATTATACAAACTAGGAATCCTAGAAATAACGCAATTTAACCAAGAAGTACTAGATGAGCACAAACGAACGTATTGTATTCGGAATTCGAAATCAGGCAGTCATGAAATACAAAGGAATCATTAGTTCATGCAAACACCACATAGGGTCAGTACAATAACCGAAATCAGCGGATGGAGATATGGGGTGGGGTGGCTCAGAATTGGTTGCAATTGTTGTCCAGATGAATACACTATTTTCCCTTATATCATCAACTCTATAACTACCCTATGCTGTTTTATTACAACGAATTCATGTCTGTTTTCGAATCATCTTGAATTTAATAGTTACTACCTATACTACTCTAGGATTTGTTTTGATAATTTCATCTTGTGCTAATTGTAGTGTGGCAGTTTGTACTAATGCGCACATTTGTCTCAGATTTTTCATTCCTTATGGCTGATTTATTCATTTTTCTTCCACATAAAATTTACATCAGTAATCAAATATCGTTATATTACTCAATTATTACTTGTTATAATTGTGTATTTAAGGCAAAAATACTGTTAGGATATGTGGTTACCCTCTGATAGTAATTGGTTAGTTTATCGATACTATAGTTGGTGTTAGCTCGGTGGGGATCGGAGAAAGAAAGGCGAATAAACACTTTTCAGAAAAAAAATTATCCGTAGTCTTATTGTAGTTGTAGTAGATAGTTACCTGTAAGCTACTCTTTGAGTTCAAAAATTTCTATCAAGTACTTCTAAACAAATGACATTAAAACAATATAGATCATAAATAGTCGTTTAGATCAATGGTCACTTTGTTATTTGTTTGATAGAATTCGATCCTAATAAAAAACGTGATAAAAATTATAGTGGTTATTACTCACTAACCGATTGGTATAAAATTAAATTAAATTTGTAGAATATAAAGTTGAAATACAGTGAGAAATAATATCACTTTCGAAATATACCACATCAGTTTTATTACTCATTCAGTCTTCGATGGTTTTTTATTCTAGTTATTCCGATTTCGACTAACGGGTTATAGAATAAAATCCTAGTCTACCTATCAGGGTATAGTACAAGTAGATGTAATTCACAATGATTTGCAAACCCATCTTCCAATAGTATATATTCTATGGACTGTCTCATTTTTCCAATTGTATACTATTTGTTTACTAGCTGAACAAGATGAAATCCTTAAAGTAATGTTAATAATCAGTGAAATGTTCTTGCACACACGAATTGTTCTCCCAGTTATATCATTTGCATTTATTCTTGAAATTCAAAATGTTATTGTTATCTTCATACTTTCTCACTAGGCTTATGTTACGTAATTTTGGTGTCTCTAAATTAATTATGTTCGTGATATTTGTGTAACTACTGGCGTTGATTATCTTTAGAATCCGTTCGTTATTTTTGGTTGAAATGTAAAAACCTATAAAATACATAATCCTCATTGCCATCTGAATTCGATTCATTTAAGTTCGAGACGTAGTTAGCAGATATTGTAAATCATACTGACACTGTCATCTATGCTTCGTCACATTCATCATTACGATGTAATGATCACCTTCAATAAAATGATCCATAAAGTTAATCTATGTACCATATCAAACATTTCATGTTGAAGTTATACTTCTCCCCGCTGGCTCTATAGTTTTGTAATTTCTGAGAAACCTTCAATTCTTAGGTTCGACTCCATCTCCACTACTCTGTAATTCTACTGGACAGTGATTAAATAGCAGAATTATTCGGTTTTACTCCACTAGGTCTCAAGTTCTAACTCCGTCCCACCTTTGTTTGCGATTTTTGACATTATCACTAGTCCCTGCACAAAATCAAATGTAACTGGAAGTTGATTACTTAAACCTATAACTAGTTATTAAGTTGACAATTTCCTTACCTTTTATGTCTTATTGTCTGTCAATCTTCCTAATCTACATGATTCACAAAATATATCTGTTATTTGTTTTTATCTAAGACAAGACATCGTACTGTAAGAACGCGAGGAAATCGTGTCAATTACAAAAGTGCTTTCGTAGATGACAGCTTTGATGAATCTAACGATGAACCATCGGAACGATCTAGTTCGAGTATATTTAAATCAATCAATCAACGAACTTCATATGGCACTGTACCAATACTAAAGTAAATACAATATTTATTATTATCACAGATATTGACAGTTTATGTTTACTGACATGTATGCAATGGATTTACTGTGTATTTTCATCTCCAACACATACATATATGTATTTTTATAATCTCTCGTCTTTTTTAATTATTAATTTACTATCGTTGTCGATGATGATGTCACTTGCCTTTTTTTCTCTGGCTGACATTTCAGTCAACAAACGTGTTTCCAAAAGCCAAGAGGTCCTTTGGTCCGAAAACCTTATGCACCAGTCTTGGCAAGCAGGTTAGCGATATGTTACTTTTACTGTTTTATATATATATATATATATATATATATATATATTATATATATATATATATATATATATATATATATATATATATATATATATATATGTTTATATATATATATAATTCATCTCCAAAAAAATTAAGTGGCTTCAACCTATTTGGCTTTTTTATTTAGTTTGTCTTGATACTGTCATTGCTTTTTTATCCTATGTAATCCATAATATTTTAATCCTAAAAATTGCCGATTTTGACTTTGGTTTCTTTGAAAAAGCGTTTTCCGTATTTTTAGTAAGCTTTTTGCATCAGTTCACAGTGTTCTCACATATGTGCGCTTGTGTATTTGTGCTTGATATAGTTATGTGTTGTTCCCCATCTCTATCGAGAAATAACGCCTCATGTTTGTATATTAGGAGGGAGGCGAGTTTATGGAAATTGTTGGTGGTATGGACGATAGTCGCACAACATCGCGAATGAACTGAAGTTATATATGTGGACCATTAGATAACAACTTAGCAGTCTGAAAGCTAAGCGGTTTCCGTGATGCCTGAAGATTCTGGTCTTAGTCGTTCACGAGGTTGTAGAGATGCTCCTTATGAAAAGTCGTATGCTGGGGCGAAACAGCTGTCCTGGTACCGTCCAGGTTTTTAATGGTTATTTGGCTACAATCATTCTGTAAGTGGTTTAGACAAATAGTGTTTTTGTTTTCATTTTTATTGAACTAGTAATTTTCTTCATCTTAAAATTGTTTTGTTTACCTCCTCTTTACCGTTTTAGAAATTCCAAGTCGTTCATAAAATCAGAAGATGACAATAATCTGGACCGAATTGGCGTAAATGAACAATATTCAGAGGAGGATGAAGATGGTGTAAGTGGTGAAGTTAACCGGGAAATTGAATGGGGAGTTGATGATGAAGAAGTGGATGTTATTGAAGAGATATTAACTCATGCTATTCGACGTAAAGGTGCCACTGGTAATCCTACCACTCTGTATAATACACAATTGGAAAAAGATTTAAATGCTGGTTTTAATCCTAAACAAGAGGATGGTGAATTACAATTTCTCATTAAATGGCGTAATTGGAGTCATATTCATTCAACATGGGAAACTGAATCTTCATTACGTAATCCAGATCGAGGTGCACCAGTTGCTGGTATGAAAAAATTCCATGCATATCAAGCAATTATGCGAGAAAAAAGTGAACGTTTACAATATGTTGAAAGGGAAGAACTAGAAACTGTGGCTTATGAAGAAGAACGTGATGAACAATTATTACAAGATAAAATGAATGTTGAACGTATAGTCGCCCATAGCCGTGATCCAGAAACAAACACTTTTGATTATCTCATTAAATGGTTCCGTTTGGATTATCGATTTTGCACTTGGGAGTCGGGGAAGGTTATACATTTACTCTATGAATCAGCAGTTCAAGCTTATGAAACTCGTTGTAATTCTACTACACTGCCTAATCGAAAATGTGAAGTGCTTTATACACGACCAAAATTTCTACCGCTAATGGAACAACCTTCATACCTTGGGCGCTCAAAGGAACTTCGTTACGTGATTATCAACTTGAAGGTATTAATTGGTTAATTCGTGCTTGGACTCGTCGGAACAGTGTGATTTTGGCAGATGAAATGGGATTAGGGAAAACTATTCAGACTATTGGATTTCTTTCATATTTGTTTAATGAGCATCAGGTATATGGACCTTTTCTTATTGTTGTTCCTTTGAGCACTATATCAAGCTGGCAAAAAGAACTGCAAACTTGGGCACCAGAAATGAACACTATAATATATACTGGTGATCATGTATCACGACAATTGATTAGAGAGCATGAATGGTCAACTGGAGCTTCTAACAACAGACGTCATCAATCATTAAAATTCAATGTTTGTGTAACTACTTACGAAATTTTATTGAAGGATAAAGGTTGGCTTAGTCAAGTAAATTGGGCCTTTTTAGGAGTTGATGAAGCTCATCGTTTGAAAAATGATTCAAGTCAATTGTATAAAACTTTAAAAACATTTGAAACAAATACTCGTCTATTGGTTACAGGAACACCTTTACAAAATACTATGAAAGAATTATGGGCACTATTACATTTTATTATGCCGGATTGTTTTCCAGATTGGGAAGAATTTGAACAGACTTACAGTGTTTCTCCTGATGATCCAGCTAATAAAATGAATAATGAAGCATTTCATAATCTTCATAAAACATTAAAACCTTTTCTACTTAGACGAGTGAAAAAAGATGTAGAAAGTTCATTACCAGAAAAAATTGAACAAATTTTGCGAGTTGATATGACTAAAGAACAAGCAAATATATATAGATTAATTTTAGCCCGTAATTATGATGGATTATTAAAAGTAACACGTGGTCATAAAGCTTCTTTTATTAATATTGTTATGGAATTAAAAAAATGCTGTAATCATGCTCATTTAATTGCACCTCCATCTGAAGTTGATCAACAATATTTAACCAAAGAAGATCGATTAAGATTATTTTTAAAAGGTAGTGGTAAAGGTACCTTATTAGATAAATTATTACAACGTCTTAAATCAAAGGGGCATCGAGTTCTTATCTTTAGTCAAATGGTTCGTATGTTAGATCTTATAGCTGATTATTTAAGTTTACGTGGTTGGGGTTTCCAACGTCTTGATGGGTCAATAAGAGGTGAAGTACGTAAACAGGCACTAGATCATTTTAATTGTGAAGGTTCAACTGATTTCTGTTTTTTATTATCTACACGTGCCGGTGGTCTTGGTATTAACTTAGCAACAGCTGATACTGTCATCATATTTGATTCTGACTGGAATCCACAAAATGATTTACAAGCTCAAGCACGTGCACATCGTATAGGTCAAACTAAACAAGTATCAGTGTATCGTTTTGTTACTCGTGAATCTGTGGAAGAAAAGATAATTGAAAGTGCTACACGAAAAATGGTTTTGGATCATTTGGTTATTCAAAGAATGGATTCAGCTGGTATTCGTAGTGGTCGACGTGGCGATACAGCTAAAGGTCATTTACTTACTGAAATTCTTCGTTACGGTGCAGAAGGATTATTTAAACAAGCAGACGAAGATGCTACAGAATTGGAAGTTGATATTGATGATATTCTCAATCGAGCAGAAACACGAGATACAGAAGCTACAGTAGAGTCCAATCCAGCTAACGCTTTGCTTTCTTCATTCAAAGTTGTTAACCTCGACGCATTGGAAGAAGATACTGATATTAAAAATGGAAATGACTCATTAAATTCTTCAATAAATGCAGGTTGTGAAAAAACATGGGATCAAATTATTCCCAGTGAGTTTCGGGGACAAGTGAAAGCAGAGCAAGACAGAAAAACTCTAGTTGAACTTGAGTTGGGTCCACGACGTAGGCGTCCTGTCAAAACGTTCCAAGCAGGACTAAATTCCAACCAGTCTTCTTCTGAAACATCGGAGACTGAAGAAAATGACAAAGTTCTCCCAACCCAACTTACAGAAAAAGAAATTCGCGCTTTGGTTCGTGCGATTAGACATTTTGCACGCCCTCTAGAACGTATTGATGCAATAGCAGCTGATGCTGAGCTTCCCGATCATTCTGAGTCTGAACTTCGTGAGGTAGTAGATGCTGTTCTAAAAGGTTGTCGAACAGCCATGGAAGCGGCCTCCATCAATTCAAATGAAGAGTCCCAGAAACAAGCGACTGGTGGTAAAGGACCTGTTTTTCAATACGGTCGCGTTAGTGTGGCTGCAAGACCTTTATTACAAAGTCTAGAATATCTAGAAACCCTTCACTTGTGTCTACCTTCTACCAGTAAAGAAGCACGTATGTCGTATGAATTGCCGTTTTCTCCGAAACTAGTTGCTTGGTCATGCAATTGGGACAATACTGATGATGTTCGACTTTTAGCAGGAGTTTACGAGCATGGATATGACAATTGGGAAACAATCAAACTAGATGCTGACTTAGGTCCTCGGCTCTAAATTACTCCCAGTTTCACAAACAGAACGTCCACAAGCCAATCATTTACGATCACGTGTGGATTATCTTTTAAAAATGTTAGCTAAATGCCATTCATCAGTCAGTAAAAATACTGAGCAACAGATGGTTACTAAAAAAAGAAGAAAGGACGACAGAGAGTCAAACAAATCAAATCAAAAAGCTAAAACAATCACTTCAAAAGCCAATGTAAAACATACTAATAAGCAAATGTCTACCCCAATAAATTCAATGCCTAAATCAGCAGAATTTGTAGAAACTGACGATTCATCATCAGAATCAGACTGTAATAAAAATAATGATGACAAGCAAGAGGAAAATGATATTGATAATGATAACACATCAAATCAACTGTTAAAAAACACTAAACAATCTAGAAAAAGTACAAATAAATCAAAAATTAAATCTGAGAAAAAAGATAAATATATTTCAGAATTAAAACCACCTACACTTCAACCTTTATCATCTAATCATCAAGAAAATTTATCTAATGTACCTACAATGTTGTTTACAAAAAAGGAAGAAGATGAATTTCGTAATATGCAAGGTCCAATTTTTGTAAAAGTAAATTTACTATATATATTTTTAATAACTTCATATTTCATTTTACATTATGCCTAGTTTTCTTTGTTTGTATATTACAGTAGAAACAAATATTTAAAATTAATAGCTTATAGATCATATCTTATGAGAGAAAGTGACTGTTGGAGATTTTGACAAAACCAGTACCTTGTATAGTTGATCAATTAATACTTTCTCTGTTAACTTAATTTTAAAGATAAGTGTTATTTATGTCAAGTTCACTACTGGGATGATATGATTTATGGTTATGCTGAAATAACACCAGTGTTGGTAACATGTATTCCAAATAGTGTAAATCAACTGCTACATAGTTAATATTCTCTCTTTAATCTGTATACACAATAATGAAAGATGTTCAATATAATATAACTTTAAAGCACATTTTGTAACAAAGTTATTGATAATACTTAACTTTTTTGACCATAACTTTTTAACCATAGCTTTAACATTCAGGTCAATTAAAAAGCTATTAAAATAAAAGCCACAACTTAAAATACAAGGGTGAGGTCTTACTACCAGCTCTACTGAGATCTGACAAAATTAAAGTATTTTCCTCAAATAACCAACATATTTATCGCTTCTGCCTTGTCACAACCAAAGTGGAAGGTTGGAAAACATCGGACCTACCAATAACACATCTCACCTTTCCTCTAGGATTTCCGTCACCGGTGTTAAGGTCTAAGAAGTATGAAGCTAACACAAGCGTCTACAATTGGTAAATGAAAACCACCCTCATAAATCTAAAAGCGTTCTCCATCATTGAAATACAAAATAAATGGGTCCGGGAGTGGTTAAAACATGTAGCAGAACAGTCAAAAATAATGTGCTTCAATTATTAAATCACCAGTGTACATGTAGAATAACACATAAATCGTTCGGCTACCACTTTTAAGCTATCGTACTGTTACTCATAGCTAATCAGTAACTAAACATAATTCATTTCGTTAAAATGAATCGTCTTTCTTATAGTCTGTAAATGAATAATCTTAAAAATATGCTCAGCAAGAAGTAAAAACTATATATTTATACGGACTAAAAATACTAATTAACAGTATTTCATTATCAACCCAGCTTGAGTTAAAAAACTCATCATATCAGTATTTTCAGCAAGTCAAATTTGTCAGTAGGCATCAAATAAATTAACGTATATAAGTGTGTATGCGTGTTTTCGTGTGAAGGTTAATATTAAGTCTTGATTAAACAATGCCAGACAATTGCTGAGTGTGTTGTGAAATGTTAGTTGTCAATTATACTCAGCAGCAATTTCTCTTATGTTAGTCAAAGTTCCAGAATCAATGTTAAATATGATATTTCCCGTCTCTGCCAAAAATTTCCCAGCATTGACTATCACCAACAATGTGGGAAACCGGGAAGACCAGTCAAATAGCAATGGAAATGAGGAGATACAACTTAGCAGTACTGGGAATCAGCGAAACCCACTGGACCCAAGCTGGACAGAAAAGGCTAGCTACGGGAGAGATGCTGCTATACTCCGGTCACGAAGAGGAAAATGCTCCACACACTCAGGGAGTCGCTCTTATGCTGTCCAAAGTAGCACGAAATGCACTTGTAGGATGGGAGTCTCACGGATCCAGAATCATCAAAGCATCATTCAAAACAAAGAAGGAGGGGATCTTAATGAATATTATCCAATGTTATGCACCCACCAATGATAGCAACGACGACATTAAAGATCAGTTCTACGAGCGGCTGCAGTCAATCATTGAGAAATGCCGAAGAAAGGACCTAACTATTCTGATGGGAGATCTAAATGCCAAAGTCGGAATAGACAACACTGGATATGAAGATATTATGGGACGACATGGACTGGGAGAGAGAAACGAAAATGGAGAAAGATTTGCAAATCTATGTGCATTCAACAAATTGGTCATAGGAGGCACAATATTTCCACACAAGCGTATACACAAGGCTACATGGATCTCACCGGACCACACTACAGAGAACCAAATAGATCATATTTGCATCAACAAAAAATTCCGAAGGACAATGGAAGATGTGAGAACCAGGAGAGGTGCTGACGTAGCTTCAGATCACCACCTAGTTGTAGCCAATTTAAAACTGAAGCTAAAAAGAACTGGACAAGTGGACAAACAGCACTACAAAGGTTCAATACAGCCTTCCTTCGAGATACTGACAAACTCAATGAATTCAAGATAGCTCTCAACAACAGGTTCCAAGCCTTACAAGATCTACTGAATGAAGAAGAAACTACTATGGAGGACAACTGGAAAGGCATCAAGGAAGCATTAACTTCAACGTGTCAAGAGGTTCTGGGCCTAAAGAAACACCATCATAAGGAATGGATCTCTATAGAAACACTGGACAAGATCAAAGAAAGGAAGAACAAGAAGGCAGCAATTAACAACAGCCGAACACGAGCAGAGAAAGTCCAAGCACAAGCTGAATACATAGAAGCAAACAAACAAGTGAAGAGGAGCATTAGAGCCGACAAGAAGAAATACGTGGAAGAACTAGCAACGACGGCAGAAAAAGCTGCTAGAGAAGGAAATATGAAACAGCTTCACGATACAACGAAGAAACTAGCAGGGAAATACAGTAAACCAGAGAGGCCGGTCAAAGACAAAGAAGGCAAGCCAATCACCGAAATTCAACAACAGCGTAACAGATGGGTAGAATACTTCGAGGAACTCCTGAATAGGCCGGCTCCAATGAATCCACCGGACATCGAAGCAGCACACATAGATCTTCCTATAGATGTCAACCCACCAACGACGGAAGAAATTAGAATGGCCGTCAGACAAATCAAGAACGGGAAAGCAGCAGGACCCGACAACATACCAGCTGAAGCACTGAAATCAGACATCGAAGCAACCACAAGCATGCTATACCTTCTATTCAAAAAGATTTGGGAGGAGGAACAAGTGCCGATGGACTGGAAAGAAGGACACCTCGTCAAGATTCCAAAGAAAGGAGATCTGAGCAAATGTGAAAACTACAGAGGCATTACACTACTGTCAATACCAGGGAAAGTCTTCAACAGAGTGTTGCTGAACCGGATGAAGGATGCAGTAGACGCCCAACTTCGAGATCAACAAGCTGGATTCCGTAAGGATCGGTCGTGCACAGACCAAATTGCAACACTACGGATCATCGTCGAACAATCAGTTGAGTGGAACTCATCACTATACATCAACTTCATTGATTATGAAAAGGCATTCGACAGTGTAGATAGGAGGACATTATGGAAACTTCTTCGACACTACGGAGTTCCTGAGAAGATTGTCAACATTATCCGGAACTCATACGACGGACTACAGTGCAAAGTAGTGCATGGAGGACAGCTGACAGATGCATTCCAAGTAAGGACTGGAGTCAGACAAGGCTGTTTACTCTCTCCCTTCCTCTTTCTTCTGGTGGTCGACTGGATTATGAAGACCTCGACATCTGAAGGAAAACACGGAATACAATGGACAGCTCAGAATCAATTAGACGATTTGGACTTCGCAGACGACCTAGCCCTCCTATCACGTACACACGAACAGATGCAGATGAAGACAGCCAGTGTAGCAGCAGTCTCTGCATCAGTAGGCCTCAGCATACACAAAGGGAAAACCAAGGTCCTCAAATTCAAGGCGGAGAACAGCAATCCAATCACTCTTGATGGCGAAACTCTGGAAGATGTAGAGTCCTTCACATACCTGGGAAGCATCATCGATGAACAAGGAGGTTCAGATGCAGACGTAAAGGCGAGGATCGGCAAAGCAAGGGTCGCATTCCTACAATTGAAGAACATATGGAACTCAAAACAACTTTCAACCAATATCAAAGTGAGAATCTTCAATACGAACGTCAAGGCAGTTCTACTGTATGGAGCTGAAACTTGGAGAACTACAACAACCACAATCAAGAAAGTACAAGTATTTATAAATAGCTGTCTACGCAAGATACTCAACATCCATTGGCCGGATACCATCAGCAATAGCCTTCTGTGGGAGAGAACAAACCAACTTCCAGCTGAAGAAGAAATTAGGAAAAGACGATGGAAATGGATAGGACATACATTACGCAAATCGTCAAACTGCATCACGAGGCAAGCCCTAACTTGGAATCCTGAAGGGAAGCGAAAAAGAGGAAGGCCAAAGAACACATTGCGTCGGATAATAGAAGCAGATATGAAAAGGATGAATTACAACTGGACGGAGCTGGAAAGGATTGCCCAGGACAGGGTTGGATGGAGAATGCTGGTGAGTGGCCTATGCTCCTTCACGAGGAGTAACAGGCGTAAGTAAGTAAGTAAGTATTGACTATCACCACAATAGTTATTATAATTGAACATAAACTTGATTGAATGAATATTTGACTAATAATTATTTATTTGTATTGAAAATCTAGAGGTGAAATTTGAATTTTTTGTGTATTGAATTTCACTGTTCCATTGACCATTGAATTATTGATTCTACTCATCAGTTATGGTGTTATTCGAGTTCAACTGCTTTTTCCTAAATTGCAGTAGTCATGATCCCTTTTTTATAACACAAACACAATTCAGTTATATTAAATTATTACCAAAATATTCACGAAAATTTACTGACCTGTTTATGTAAGAAAATTTGTTTTTACTTTTTAGTGTAAAAAGAAATTTGTACCGATTAAGAAGCATTTCAAAGAGTTGGAAGATCTTGAACGAACTGATGAACAAAATCCAGTAAAACTGGCTAATGTCGTTTTACAAATTGGCGATCATATTCATTCCATTGTAGATGTATATCCCGATAAAGAGAAACGTCATGCATGGAAAAAGTATGTGTGTGTCCATTGTATTATATACGAATCTAGACTTATTTTGTGTTGTTTTGTTCTTGTTTTCTTTGGTTGTCAAATCGTTATGTTTTTCTACGGAGTAGTTCACTTCTTAACAGTTGTGTTTTATATTCATTTCGAAGTTATATCGAACCCCAACTAAGTAGATCACTGGCTGGAAACCTGTCTTATCTATTTCAGTTTACTCAGTCGGGTAATAATGATAGTAGTAGTGGTATTCACTTACATGTATTAACAAACGTGATTTGGTCACTGAGTCATATTTACTGATATCTTAGTAGATATCCCTCTATTAATAACTCAGTTCTAAAGTTCTAATGTTGACACTTTGTAAAAACTCCTCTTCAATTGTCGTAAAAAGTAACTTATCACAGCAATAACCCTTTTGTTTTATACTTCTGCTATCATGTATCGTAATTCTTATCGCCTGATGTTATTGATAATTCTTGTGTTTTAATTGTGCGTATGCTAACTTTTTCCTGGTAATTTTTGAGGTGGTTTTTACTAAAAATATCGGTCAGTTAGTCAGTTATATGCAATATGCCTGGTCCTACGTTATAGAACATGAGATAGATATACGCATCTGCTCAAGCTGTCACGTCACATTACCACGAGGAGATAAAATTATCAAGATAAACTACAGGACAATGTGATTAGTAACTGTATCAGTGGAACAATTCAAGGAGAACGAGTGAATTCATGCAATCAAAATAGCATAAGATACTTTTGGAACTCAGTATGTGAAGGGTGACAAAGTGTAAATCCTCACGTTCCTCCACTGCCTCGTGGATTATACCTTCAGATCAAAGGCTTGGGGTGTGGCCCCCTGGGAAAACCACCTACTTCGGTCTGGGCACCCGGACAGTATCCTAGTCCTCATACAAGTCGAATGATTCTTATGGCGCATATCTGTTTGACGCCTCTTTATACCAGTGTTTATGTGTTTGAATATATATATATATATTCTGTTATCTGTGGTCGTCACTGATTTTTATGTCGGAATCGCTTATTACTTATACTTATAAAGCGAGGAAACACTACAACTCCCACGATGCAAAAGTAAGAACACAAAGACTGGTACAAATGGAGATTTACTAACTCCGAAACACGACGAAGACGAGGACTCTAGTCGAAAATACACTCATTTATATATTGATTCGTACACCTATTTTGATGATTGATTAGGATGAAATCAAATGCATGACAAATCACATGCTACATGTCATGTTGAGCATAGTTCGGGTTAATTTAATACAAGAATATCATATGTTATGGAGAATAAAATATCATACGGGAAAACAAAAGAAATACTACACTGAATAATTATCATATTGAATTAAACATACGGAGGTAATTTTGAACAAAAATCATGATGAGTAAATCAATTTAATATTGATTTTTCATCCCGTCATATCATCTATTCAATATGACAACTATTTCTCAATAGTTGATTAGATAAAGGGTTAAACAGTAAGCTAATTAAAAATAAATCACAATTGATTGATCACTGGGTGGTGATCAATCTCATGCTTGTCTAGTCCTTATTAGTGCAGATCGAATGCTATCGATCATGTTGCAATGTGGCCACCAGTCTAGGTGACTCGACACTGCGGGCACTATGTATTGAGATTAGATGGTGGTTGGAGGTAGTCAACAGGAAACCCTGGACCTGGGTTTCGTGCTACTTGGCACTCGTCAGCAAGGTGTACCTGTAATCTTGAGGGAACTGGTGCTCCCTGGCGGATTCGATCTCGTGTCACCCAGCTTCACAGTCAGAGACGTTACCACTGAGCTATCCGAGAATAGTCATAGAACATAAAATATCGTAATCAAATAACAAAACCATTGGGCAGCGTCATAGTTGCTAATATCAATCTAAATGAATTCATGATTCATTTACTGATTCATTCTATTTGTACATGTCTGCTGAATTGTGATAAATTGTCATTAAAAAAATATATGATTTCAAAATTCAATAATAATACAATCTAAACAAAATTATTCACTAATCAATTGTTTATTCGCTATTATTACATATATTAAGATTTCTGTTAAAAACTGACGGTGAAAAATTTAGTTGTATGCGACAATTGTATTGAATTTACATCAGTTAAATTTTTATCTGTGTTCATTTACAGATTAACATAGGCCAACTGTAAAGTTGAAACCTTATGATCACATAAACAAGAATGTTTTACATTCAACAACTTTTGTGTGTTTAACGCGCAGAATTGATAAAGTATTTAGTCAGTGGTATTGTTATATAGTGTTTAATTTTTGGGCTATTTAAATAAATAAGTCATAATTTACATTGGCAATATTATCGAACTACCAGACGTAAAAACATATCAGAGGAATGAACGACAACTGCAGAGTTGGTTCAACTGTTAAAATAAGTGAAAATGAGAGATGTTTCAATATTTTGTAACGAAATTCAGTAAAAACTTAAAGAATAGTAGTAGATTACTGGAAACATAACATTCAGAGTTTCGTGTGCACTTTAATTTTGTTTGAAACATGAATTAAAAATTTCATTCAGTTTACTTTGACTGAAACAAACAGACAGTTAACACTTAATATTCTTCAAACAAACGTGTATTATAGGAATCCCGATGAATTCAGTATACTTCCAGGATAATTTAATTGCTAGTTTTTAAAGAATAAAGTGATTTTAAGTAGATCTAGTGAGTAATTAAAACTAGAAACGCAAACTTTTAAATACCGACTCAGTAGTTTAGAGTTCAAACACTCTCTCGACCTGTAGGTGCTAGATTTGATTTTCAGTAGGGTAATAGATACATACTACCAATGTCTCATACCAGGACAAAACGGCTGTCCAGTAGTATTTCATGGTTCTCAGTGGTTGCTTATGTTTGGTTTTTGGTGTCAACTATGAAAGTTGTAATTACTCAACTGTTAAATGTTTTTTTATATTTTCATTTCATTCTAAAAAGCTTTATCTAATAAAAAACAATAACCACTCTGTTAACTATTATTTTATAGTTATCTATGGGAGTTTGTACATATCTTTTCAAAGAATTCCACTGAAGAACTTCGACATATCTACAGACATGCTGTGAAACGTCGATTAAAAGAACAAAGAAAAAAAACAAACGATGCCGATTTCAATTTTTCGCCAAAACATCATAAAAATTCATTACGTAACAGCAATAGTAGTATAGATTATTCTGAAACGACATCAAATCGTCATTCTTCAAATCGTGACTACTATAGTAATAATAATGATAACAATACTGGCAACGCTGCATTATTTCGACGATATCATACAAATAGATTATCGTCACATGACCGAAATGATCGTCATGAACAGCATAGTGGGTACAGTCATGGTGGACAGAATAAATATTATAATAATAGTGATAATGATTGGCCTTCTTCCATTACAAGTTCACATAAAGAATTCAATCGAGATAGGTAGGCTATTTCATTTTTGTAATTGTTTTAATTTTCCTTGAATGTTTTGTTTGAATTCGTTTTTATTTTATTTTCCATTTTTATCTTTTTTTCTCAGGAACAACAATAGTTCACGTTTTGATAACGCTTTTAATCGTCCACCGGGTCAATCGAATATAAAACATCACAAAGATAGTGGAAGTTTTACTTCACAAATGTATTCACCTCGTGTCCCATGTAGTCATTATCATCAACAACAACAGCATAATTCCAGTAGTTATTCTTCTGTTCATCAACCTTGGACTAATTATTCATCATCAGACGATATGATAAATAGTTCTCCTAAAATGGAAACATACAAATTTACCTCACATTATCCACCTGTGTTATCATCATCAACATCATCTTGTATGCCTGAATCGATTATCTCTACTTCCATCACTACCAAAGCACCATCATATTTCTCATCCATGGGACAATGTCTTCCCCCGCCACCTCCTCTTCCTCCCCTTCTACAACAACATACAACTAATCAACTATCACGTGATCCTCGACTATCCTCATCAAGAAGGTGATGTTAGCGATGAATAAAGAGCATACAAAAATAAAATTGAATAGTGTACAGTCAATAAACAATTATGTACAATGTAAATTATATATATATATATATATATATATATATATATATATATATATATATATAATACCCCTTATCACTTTCCGATTTGTACTTATTATTATTTTTTCTGTAAAAAAATTCAGAAAAGATTTAAATGCATTTCTCTTGATAATCCTATTTTTATTGATATTAGTGACAATGATTAGTGCTTATATCGATAATGATAAGACCGCTGTAAAGTTGCTTGCTTGCCTCTTGTTTTTGCTTATTTTATCCAAACAAAAGATCATCTCGACTTCATTTTATGACGATGGGCTTGGCGTAGTCTAACAAACTGATATCTATAGTATAAAAATACGTGGAATTTTTATTTGGTAGTTAGAATCATGAGCTGATCTTTGTTGGACAAACAATAAAAACAAGAGGGCATTAGATAGCTGTTTTATCTTAGCATTATGACTTCTCAGCTGTGTTTGTCTGTGACCCCACCACAGGAGATCGAACTCATGAACTTTAGACCTCGTGGCTAGCTGATTACCATTTCTAACTTCTATCAATTCTCTATATTGCACAACTACCGAGTTCAACAATCTTTACAAACCCCCTGTCTGCTAATAATTACATTTATCTGGCGATACAGTGCAACTGTACATTCAGCTATTAATGTCCGCGGGTTTTGTTCTCATAGTTCAGTCACTCGTTACTCACTAAGCTTAGCCCACTCCAAATTTCTACTTGTTCCTAATGATCATTTAGCGACGACACCGAAGCACGAAACAATGAGGCATCCAAAGAATCCGGCTTTTCAAGAGGGATGTTTTGGCCAATGAAAATGAGGAATGGACGAGAATATTGCCGAAAATGGCCATTTTGGTAATGACAATGTGATTGATTTACCCTGTTTTTTCAAATAAAGTTCTTGTAATCTTGGTCCATCTATTTATTAAGACTCAGTGCTAACCTACTATTAATTTGCTTGGTTTAGGTGCCAGTCTCTCCCTACAAAGTAAATTAAATACAAATGTCTTATCAAACCGTTGAATGACACAAATTGCATTGATTACTATCATAAATTCATAACTAATCTACTGAACTGTTGTACCCATAACAATCGTCATGTTTGTAGATTAAAAGATGTAATCATTAAAGGTGCACCAGTAATAATTGTTGCATAGATTTATTTTCTTTCAAACATTTATTCTATTGATCAAGTTTCTTACTGCTGTTTGATTTTGATCAGTCATCTAGAGTTTTAAGTTAGGTTTTCGTAATGCAAGGAATTCTAACTCTCGTAGTCAATATTTACATGAGTGGATGTCGTGTTTTGGTTTGGTCACCGCTAAATTGTTTCCTATTAATCAAACATTTTTTTGAAAATCGTTGAATGATTACTCTACAGAACACTCGCCGTAAGCGGTATAAAATAACTATAACTTCTAGTGTTATAAGGTAAGATAATGAGTGAATACATTCGAACTACTGTGTTGAGTCTTGAGTTTTATCAAATTAGGTCTCCAACCATTGATCAGGATTTTTACTTGACCCTAACTGATTAATCTACTCTCATTAATACGACTTAGACCAACGGATTTTGGTTTGGATATCTCTAACTTTCTTTTCAATCCGCCATCATACTAGTCAGCATTAAAATATAATCAGTTATGGGGGACGTCCTGATACCAAACTAGTAACCGATACTGGGACTAGTAATTCTTGACCAGCATTTATGATGAGCATCTGAAGTTCCCTTTTTAAATTTGTCCACTGATTTGTATAAGTGGTAAGTTATCCATAACCAAACAGTTATCCTGTTTCTAAAAGGCTATCAAATATAAATTAATTTAGTTCAGATCGAGTTAGTTGCATCCATGTTACTTTAGTATTGGAGTTTCTGGTTATATTACTAAACAGTTTATTTTATCTCTGAAAGTGCGTCCTCATTTGAAGGAACTATAAGATCTACACTTGACCAATGAATATCAACGCAGCTTCATTTAAGTTTACTTTCTAGTCGACATTAACATCAAGTACAACCAGGTTACCCCTAAATATGCCATTGATCATCACTAAAGATTCAATTGTTCATGGTTTATTATTTGCTACAGGAAAAGAAATTCTCTACATTGATTGATTACTAAATATTGACCAGTGTATTGTGTGTCCATGCCTTAGTGTTAGTCGATTCCTATCCACCAAGTTACACTGTTCTAAATCATGCGACATCGCGCTCACTATCTTGATAATTGATTAAGCACTAACTAGTCACTGCCCAAATAGCTTAGTATTAATGTGTCAGACTGTAAAATTGAGTAACTCGGGTTCGAATCGTCCTTAGAGTGTCAGTTCCTTCAAGACTGAAGGTACACCTTGTTAATGAATCCCAACCAATATGGAATCAGAGTTGAACAGAGTATCCTGGTGGTTGTGTCTGACCACTTGATGAGAACACTTAATTCTTCCAAATTTTTTAACTTGTCACCAGTTGAATATGATCTTCATAACCACTCATTAGTTTCAAGGTATATATCTACATCACAGTTCCAAGTAAAAGTCCATAACCTATGAAGTCGACTTAAGTCAATTACAGCACATTTACATAATGATTACAACTTAGATCACCAACTAACTGAAAAACTAAGTATCCCAATTATCATTAAATTATCAATCTAGTTATATCAAGTGACATCACATTTCTCTTGAGAGAACAAGTGTTTAGTTGATTTTGTCTGATTCGTATGATGATTGACACTTTATATCAATAAGTGCTAAGAAACTTCGATTGAAATGATAGCTTCTCAATGTTAATTTTTAGTAGTATTCGTATTTATTCTTACTTTTAATTATAAACTAATAACAGCTAAACTGCAACTATTACTAATAATGAATAATAATTGAGAAGTAACTTTAGGATAGAATATGTGTGTGAGTGAATTTGTAGCTTATGTGTTTTTCAATGTTCAACATTTGTACAGCATCATACATTTTCGGATATTTTTCCGTTTATTTAATGGTTGAGCGCTGTATTTAACGTAAGTTTTCATTAAGAATTTCATTTTGAAATATAATTCTCACTTTGTTCTCATTGATCATTTGGAAAGTTGAGATACACTACAGTCAGATGTTCATAGAAGATATATTTAGACAGATTTAAATGATTTTAATGAAATTCTCAATGAAAATTATACTCTTATATTCAGTACTCAATTACTAAATGAATGAAAAAAAAACTACTTGAAAATGCCTTGATTGAATATTGAAAAAAGGATAGTTAACTACACATTGAAAATCATCTTATCATTAAATAGTGTTTCTCTAACATTATCATTTATTGGTTTTTATTATCAAATGATTGTTAGGTTTTATGATTGGAAAAAAAAGTTGAGTAATTAGACCCTATAAAATAGTATGAACATGCACATTTGTAGAATCAATAGAAAGAAGAAAAAAAATACTAAATTATTCCTATCAACTTTTTTCCATGTGTTATATGTTAGGCAAATAAATCAACCTGTTCAAAATAACAAGAACAATTAATAATTAATATCAGAAGGGGTTTTGTGGAGATTTTAGTAATTTCATTAGTTGAAATCATGAGTCAATTGAAGCTAGATCACCATGGAAAACCTGGAAGCACTGGACGGCCGTTTCGTCCTAGTATGGGACTTTTCAGCAGTGTTCATCCACGATCCCTCCCCCCACGAGATTCGAATCCAGGACCTACCAGTCTCACGCGTGAACGCTTAACCTCTACACTTCTGAGGAGTCCCATACTGGGACAGAACGGCCGTCTAGTGCTTCCAGGTTTTCCATGGTGGTCTAACTTCAATTGATTCATGATCTCAACTATTTAAATTAATTCCTAATAAGAACCGGTTTAATAGTAATGCAAATAATAATTCAAGGTTGTTATGCTTTTTTCATGATGGTATTAAATGTAGAATTTGATGAAACCGCTGGATGCAGACTCAGTGGTCTAATGGTTAAGTGCTCGCGCACAGGATCGATAGGTCGTGAGTTCGAATCTCGCGAAGGGCGGTATCGTGGATGCGCACAGTTGAGAAGTCCCGTACCAGGACGAGAAGGCCGTCCAGTGCTCCCAGGTTTTCCATGGTGGTCCAGCTCCGAATGACTCATGATTTCAACTATTGTAATAAATAATATTAAATTTCATTACAGAAATGTAATATCTTTATTAAAAAAATTAAATATGAAATTTGTGAAGAAATTTATGTAGTTTTATTCACACACACAAAAACATGTTCAATTTGTGCAAGAGTTTGGATTTTATCTGGGTAATATTAAGGATTGTAATTGATCAGTTTCTGTTTGAGATATGCGCAACATTCTGTGTGGATTGTCTCTGACATTTTATAAGTTTTATTATATTTGGATTGCAGTTGGCAATATAATCTAGAACATATATTTCATTACATTTGGGACTCATCAGTTGGATATACTTGCATTCAAGTGTTTAAGGGATAGAACTCGAACCTAGTGCCTTTCATTTCAACGGGTTTGAAGTTTCATGTATGCTGAACAGGTTAGGGGCTACCTTGACTCAGTTTCTCTGGGTAATACGCTGTTTTGATAAACATCAACACTAAACTATCAGTACCTACAGTTGATAAAATCCTGAATTAGACAAGATACCACCTTTGGATTTCAATTCAGACATTCTGATATATAATTTATTTATAGACCTCAAATTTAGTATGTATATACGACTTCGCATCTTTGGAAATTAACTCGTTGAGGAGTCTTTCGCTGAATTTTAACCACGTTAGTTCAACAATAACAATTATTCATACAATATCATATAGTTAATAATAGTAACGTTACAACTACGATAACTGATAATATCTTCTGCTTTCCCGTTACGTGTTCTGTCCAGGGGTTTATATATATAATACATAGAGCTTAGATTATTGATATACAGTGTACTACTTGAGCACTTGA